AATTTCAAAAAGTGGAATGATCCATACCCACATAGCAAGCTGAATCTTAGGACCTGTTGGCTCCTCTTCAGGTGCTGCAAAGGCAAAATGTAACCAGAAAGTAACTATGATAGTCAAACTTCAAACATCAGCTGAGCCCACCAAACATAAAAAATTTATCTACAACATACTATAAAATATTAGAGTCAAGCTTAGATCATGAGAATTTAGGATTCCAGGTCCACCATAATTTTAATGTGGTTGAAATTTTTAAAAATAATCATGTTTGCAAATGAAATCCTTGTAGACAAAAAATGCATTTGTCTCTCTATTTGGCTTAAATTTCAGTGCTAGGGCCGTCCAGTATGGGTGATTTCTCTGAGAAAAGTCTGCCCCCATCCACCATCTCACTTATTGCCAATCACTAGTTCATCAGCCCCATCGCCGTTTAGAGTGGTTTCTCAGAAGTGATACTTGTCATTCCATAGTCAAATCTTGTCATATGCCTCATCTTCTATCTGTTTTTTGTTCTAGTTAATCAATTTCAGTGATTTTTGTGGTGTTTTCAGATGGTTCTCTTTTTTTTCTTTTTTTTTTTGGGAGAAGAAAAAGTAGTCTTCAGATGGTTCTCTTTATAGCAGCAAATTCAGTAATATTGTTAGTGGAGGATTTTGTTATTTTGTTTTAGCAGCTATTCTACTCCCTGATTTTGGGCGTTCATAAGAAAGAACGGCTTCAAATAGTAGTTTAGCATCTAAGTTTGTCCAATGTACGTGATGAATGCATGATTCCATATTACTATCAAGCATCTAATTGGTTGTAATTACATGTAATGGGCTAAACCAGTCAAGATTTACCTTACTGGGCAGGGTATATTGCTAAATTCTTGACTCTACCCTAACTAATGATGTGAAAAGCTAATGCTTTTCAGTAAGATGTGTAAACAGTAAGCTTGTATGGAATTCCATGGAATCTAATGATTCATATGAAGAGTATGCCAACGCTTTTGAAGACAAGCAATACCACATGAAAGGTATGCAAGAAAACAATTGTTGATTACTTTCCCAGTTTACAGCGAGTCGATGAGAAATATTAATGTAGTTCGATCTATTGCAGCAAATGTGAAAGGTATGCAAAAGCAACAAGAGCAATTACTGAGTGTTTCTTGACAAGGTTAAAACCAGAATCTACAACTATATTATTTAGGAAGTTTTGAACTTTATTCTTGTCTTTTATTTAAGTCTACACACGAGTTTCGTGCTCTCCCTCTGTGGATACCTCCTTGTCAAAAAACCGCCTCTGGTGGTCTATTACAGAAGGAATGGGAAGAAGAAAAAATCACAAATAGGGGTAAAATAGTCTTTTTGCATGTACAGATTAGGTTTAGGGTTGATTGACCGAATCAACCGAGAGTGATAAAATCAGATCCTTCCTTTCCCCGTCGCCGCTGCTTCCAGGCGACTCAGGCCTCCTTTGCTGCTCTTTTCACCGTCATTTGTAGCCTGTAAAATACATTACCTCAAAAATCTCTTCTTTCTCTCTTTTTCCCCGTTTCTCTCTCAAGTCCGGAGCCATGAGCAAGGCTTCTAACACTCCCCCGCTCCGAGGATACCAATATTACCAAGTCTAGCTTGGTGATTCAGAATGAATATGGAGACTGAAGGAGAGGCCATGGCTAAAAGGGGATCTGGGTATTGAAAACTTCTATTCGTGAAAGTTTGTCCTTGTTTGTTGAACGGTTACGGTGTTTTCCTCCGAATCTAACACTTTATTTGATTAAGAGTAAATGTGATTTGCATCAGCATGGTTGGGGCTCTAAAATCAATCACCTACATTTTTTAGTCCCTCTTTCTATTTCTTTTCCTTTCTTCCTTTTCTCCAAAAGACAACTAGTTCCCCATTTTTTGAAATAAAACTAGTTCCCCATGTTAAACTCCTCTTTCTTTATCTTAAAATATTTATATTTCTATAAAAAAAGAAAAGTTTGCTACTTTCCCTCTCTACTTCTTTATCTCTTCTTTATTGGACCAATCCATGTAAGCATTCCCTTTAC